CAGTAGGGGCATGTTTGCTAGAAAACGCTCTGGAATTTGCTTCAATTCTGCGTTACCCTCCAAAATTAAGGTTGAGAGCATCAAGCATTTGGGGAACATATTTATAGGGATATATGATATTTCATTGTACATAAGGGAAACCTTGTCTAGATCTTCAGTCCATTTATCCTTCTCTGGTATCTCTGTCAATCTCATTTTAGCTTTCACCATGAACTTACTTGGACCGGTGCTCTTAACACGCAATGCCATGTCCCTCACAACATCATGCGTCTTAACACCTTTTTCATCATCATCTTCATCTCCGACATCGCCTTCCTCTAACAGACAATTGTTTTCAAGCCTATTTAAAATTTCATGTCCTCTATCATGCATTTCTCTTCTACTCCCTAATTTTTCAACAAGTCCCTCACAAATCCAGTCTTCAATTAGATCTGCTCTTCGAATCACCCAATCTTCCGCATACAATGAGCAATATGAGAAACATTCTTGGATGCTTGAATTTGGTAGACGATCATAACTGAACTTCAAACGCTTAAATATCTCATCTTCTGAATCTTTCTCTGTCCCCACCACACAGTGACGCAATTGACGTAATGCACTTCTCCACTCATGAATATCTCTTACGCCTCTCATGCTCCCAGCAATGACGACAATGGCCAATGGCAAACCAGCGCATTCTGCCACCATATCCTTCAAAATGTCTTCCAAATTAGGAATTTGTAGAATGCCTTGTCCAACCATATCTAAAAACAAGTTCAAAGACTCTTGCTGTGGAAGAGGAGGCACCTTCACTATCTGGCATCCCAAGTAGTTGCATACATCAACTGATCTACTAGTAATAACAATTTTGCACCCATTTTCTGTTGTTGGTTCTGGTATTCCAACTCTTTGAAGAGTAAATTTATCCCACACATCATCTAAGATCAATGCATATTTCACTGTTTTCATAATGTCCTGCAATCTAGATGCCCGCTTCAATTCATCCCTGCCCTTCGGAAGACTTTTGTTCATTTCTCTAGCAATATCACCTTGTAATTTTACAACACTCAGTGACTGTGATACTGTGACCCAGATAATCTTTGTAAACCTGATAGAGTCATTCAGTAATTCATTATGGATGTGTTTCATAACAGTGGTTTTGCCGACTCCACCAATTCCACAAACTCCAATCATTCCAACTTCATGACTCCTCAGGTATTCCCAAATTTTTTCCTTCACATCAACCTCGCCCACCAAATTCTCTATTAGCAAACGGGTTCCAACAAGTGGGGGCCTTTCAATTACAAGACCTTCAGAGAAACTACCTCGATTATAAATTTCCCTCACATCTTGAATCTTTTGACGGACACATCTTCCAAGGTTACCACGTGACAAGTTTGAAACATTCTGCACCTCTTCTTCAATATCTGGCATTTCAATTTCAATGACCCTCCTTGCATCTTCGAGCCATCCTTGCACTTCTTCTTTAACTTGTTTTTCCGAGTCATCCACCATCCGCAGTTCTGCTACTTTGTCATTTCTTCTGCGTTTTAGATCTGCCACTCTTTTTCTAAGATCATTCACATCATTTTGGAAGTTTATATGACAATCTACAAATTCGCCTACACTTCCAAGAACTGGCCCAATAATGGACTCCATGAAGAAATTTTCTAAAAGAAAATAAAAAGGAATATTATTAAAATGTCCATTTAAGATGGTGTGTACTTACAAAAACAAAAAAATATGTATAAGTCCTCTAACGGAAAAAAGAGCAGTTAAATACATTTCACTTTAACAAGAGCCTATTAATCTATTACCATTTAACCCATTAAAATACAATTCAAATTAAATTTAGTGATATTAAAATAAAAAAAGGATAGGCAATGACTTATACAATGCGGCTTTTTCCACGGAAAGCAGTTACACTTAATTTATGCTAACATTTCTTCCTTCATAAATTTC